TGATGAAATTAACAAGATATGTAATTCGTCTCCCTCCTTTTCTTTCTTCCTCTTCCTCTTATTTCTCGCGCAGCTCGACCTGGACATGTCTCCTGCTGCTGCTGCGGCGGCTGAACAGATGATTTGTTTCAGTGCTCAGATGAGTTATTTACTTTAAGCCGACATACGGATATTATAATATTCAGTTTTGTGATCCAAATTTATTTTATTTGCCAACGTCTCTGAAAAAAAGAGCCAGGCCATGGAGCGCGATGCGTCATTTACGCACGGATGGTTCCGATTTTAATGCCATTTTTGGAATTTATGTTGTGATCTGTGCACACAACCCACCTTTGTCACGTGAGGTTTGAATATATGCAACTTTATGTGAGTGTCTTTATTTGTGGAAAAGGGTGTTTGTCTTACTAGTGGGTCCAACATTACACACACCAAATCCATCTGTGCTCATGTGAGAGAGGGTGAAGGACGCCCAATGCAGCGCTTACAGTGACACTTGTTGAGGGGCTGCCTTCTGTCGCCATCGTGTGGCATTACTGTCTTCACACATCTCTTGATCTCTTTGACTGCTTCCGGAAAATAGTAATACGTCTCGGCTGTGTTAAACCCACTCCACGCCCTCTCTCCTCCCTCACTACGACTTACGCCGCTGGGAGGAGCTGAGTTAGGGAGGGGGGATACTTACGCCAGGCTGCGCCTCTCACCAAAATACGAAATTGTGCTTGCGAACGCCTTGTCGGCGCAGCGGACCTGACTTACGTCGCGCCTGTGGCATGTCACTGGCAAGGCACGAAAATAGAGCCCTGAGTCTGCAACAGAAAAGTCCAATTTAGTGTCAATTTTGTGCTCATTTTTGAGCTCCACACAGAAAACCTCAAAACAATGATCCTGTTGCTCTACCTCATCTCCTCATTCTGAAAGTTTTCTGAGGCCTTCATTCAGTCTGACAGTTTTCATTCTGCAGGACTGATACTTTCACAGTGACCCTGATATTTTTTGTTGACAGGTTTAGTTTGGACTCTCCCTGCTCTTCCCACACTCATTTTTGGCATTAAAGGTGAGAGGGTTGATGGAGGAGGCTGCAGGTGTGGTCATGTGACACTCTACAAGCAAAATATCACTGAGGCGATACCGGAGATGGATTGAATGTCTCAGGGAGACAGACAGCAGAATGATGCACGGGCAGTTCAGACAGTGACGAACCCAACAAATCCAAAGGTGCAGATAAACCTGGAGGAGATCCAGAAACTGTGGGCGGTGACGGGACAGGAGGACAATGTTTGGGGCTGAGTGGACAGATGATGGATGGAGGAAACAGGCGCCAAGGCATTTGGCAGCAGCTGAGCTGCAGGTATCGACAGAGCAATGCTTCATGGGATACGCTGCATCACTGATGAAGCCAGGAATAGACCCACAGACACATCCACAGATAGACAGACCTACAGACAGAGAAAAGAAATAACTGCTAATAATGAGGCTGGAGAATAATTACCATCAATAACGACCACAGCTCAGCTGCTCCTTAATGAGCCGATATACAAGCATAGAGTTAAAGGTCACAGAAACATCTGGAGACCCAGCATACATCTGCGTTTCTCAGGAAACAGCTGTCAATCAAACTGTGTGGGCGGGCACTGTGTTAATAGTAGCTGTCAATCAAGTGAAAAGTGCACAGACCTACATCCTCTACCTTTACTATCAGATCACTCTCCGAGTTTAGCAAACTTTGTGGAGTGTGTGTGTGTGTGTGTGTGCGTGCGTGTGTGTGTGTGTGTGTGTGTGTGTGTGTGTGTGTGTGTGTGTGTGTGTGTGTGTGTGTGTGTGTGTGTGCGTGTGTTGGTCAGTCTAATTAGCTGGTTATCAGGTGAACTGCAGAAGGTCACTCAGAGCAGGTAATGAAGCTGAACATGTGTGTCCTACAGCTGGAGACTTACAGGGACTGATGGGAAATGAGCCTGAACCACTCAGAGTGTTTCCTGTGACGCACTCGTTAACTCCATCACTAACTCTCTCTCTTTGTCTCTCTATCCTTCAACATCTGCAGTTTTTGACCCTGCTGCAGGAGCATCTACACACTGTGTGGCTGTGTGAAGAGATGAAGAGGCACCGTCACACAACATCACGTCAATACGTACAGAGCAGGTACAGTTTTCCCTCAGCTGCTGGAAAAACTTAATTGTGCCCTGTCTCTGAGGCGTCACCTCCATCTTGACTGACAGGTTGCCATGCTTGCAAGAAGTCAGTCTGAGAGTGGACCCAGAGGACTACAGCATTTTATGTTTTTTTGACTTTAGGACCAACAGAGTGGACATTTCTAAACTGAAAAAACTCAACTATGGCTCAAGCTTATTTTCTTTCTGAATAACATATATCTGTTCTTATTGTGCAATAAAAAAGGCTTTAAGGCATGTCTTATATGTCTTTTAAGTAAGGTTTTCTAATCTGTTTCAAAAATGTCAGACTATTTGGAGGATCTGCAGCCCCCCAGTTTATAACTACATTATCCATGCGGAGAGCTGAGTGGGCGGGGCAACTTTAAAATCAACTTTAAGTCTGTTTTGAAAAATTAAATTGACTGAAGTTTGATTTTCTTTTCCATAAAGTGAACTTAAAAGAAAACTGAGAACAAAATCAGGGAGGAAAAAACATTAAAAAAAGAGAGAAACCGAATTAAAAAAAAGATAAACAATAAAAAGAGAGAAATTAAAGAAAAATGGGAGAAAAAACAATATGAAGAGATAAACTGAAGAAAAAAGAGAAAAAACAATAAAAAAAGAAAAAGAAGGCAAAGAAAGAAGAAACTGAAGATAAAAGAGAAAGTGGAACCAATAAAAAGAAAGAAACTGAAGAAAAAAGAAGGAAAAAAGAAATTAAAGAAAAAAGCAATAAAAGAGAAACTGAAAAAAGAGAGAAATCAATAAAAACAGAAAAACAATTTAAAAAAGAAACTAAAGAAAGAGAGCGAGAAACTGAAGAAAAAGAGAAAGTGAAAACAATAAAAAGAGAAACTGAAGGAAAAAGAAAGAAAACCAGAAAAAAGAAAATTTAAAGAAAGAGAGAAACAAAAAAAGAGAATCTGAAGGAAAAAAAGAGATAAAAACAATATAAAGAGAGAAACTGAAAAAAGAAAGAGAAAACAGGGAGAAACAAGAAAGAGTACAAAAATCAGAACTGATCTTCCCATGTGAGAAGAAACCAGACAGAGGAGGACAAAGTGAGTCGCTGAGTCAACAACATGAACTTCAGGTTAGCCGATAAATTCAGATAAACTTCAATTATTTATGACAGGGTGAAGAGGCAATAAAGAGAGGAGGAGAAGGAGGTGCAGAGAGACAAAGAGAGGAGGAGGAGGAGGAGCAGAGAGACAAAGAGGGGAGGAGGAGGAGGCGGAGGAGGACGACGAGCATCTGTTTCAGAGTTTCTGCTGAGTCAGGAAGGTGAGAGAGTTTCTAAATGTCAGGACTTTACCTGACTCCTGACACACACACACACACACACACACACACTGTGAGAGCAGAGAGAGAGCTCAGGCTATTTGCATTAATGAGAGTTTAGTTGAAAATGTTGGCAAAGGAAGAGAAGGTGGTGGTGGTGGTGGGGGGGGGGGGGGGTTGTTGACAGATGGCAAACAGAAGAGTAAAGTCAGTCAGTCGATAAGAGTCTGAAAACAGTCGAGCAGGAGCATCAGCAGTGTTGACAGGAAATCAAACGCTGGAGATACAAACAAGAAAACGGGGGGGGGGGGTTGAGAAATACAGAAGAAGAAAGAGAAGAGGGAGTCCCACCATCAGAATTTAAGTTAAATCATCAACCAACCACATGTTTAATATTTGAGCTCATTTCCACTTGCTGATGAATCAGCAACACCAAAAGAAGAGACTCTTTCAGGGTTATATCAGACCAACTATAAAGCTCCTGTGAGGTTTTAAACCTCAAGGGTCAAGAGGTTTGTTCAGTCACAGTTAGAAAGGTCATATTAGTGTTTGTTTTTGCCGCAGGTTCAGATTTAATCTCCATATTTGGATGAACTCATTTAAAATCAGTCTGTTTAGTTCTGCTATTTAGATGGACATTTTCAAATGTGTGTATGTGGCTTTTGGTGCTTCCAGCCTCTAGTGGACACATGAGGAACTGCAGTTTTCACCACATATTAGTGGGGTCACAAAGTGAGATTCTGTGACCATCCTTTGGCAAGGATGTTTTGACGATTGATTTGACCTCTTTGGACCCTTTAGAAAAGATTTAGCCCCCAGGTCCCTCGCAAAAGTCCCAGCATTTTTTGCTAGACAGCCAAATTCAAGATGGCGGCCGACGCCATCTCTAAAAATTAACTTTTGATCTGGATGACCTAGAATCATGTATGAAGGCACTTTTCCATACAAGTCAAGCAAATGGATTCTAAACCTGACATCATTTTAATTGTAAGACCTCGTTTTGACCGCAATATTCAAGCTGGCCGACATCCTGTGGCTCCTCTCAGTGTGGATGGCTCCCATAGGTGGTCTTTCCTTACCAGGATCATCAGTGCCTTGCCATGTTCTTACTGACAGTTAGTGTGTGGGTGTGTGGATACATGTGTGCGTGTATGTGTGTGTGGGGGGGGCTGCTGTGCATGCCTGTATGTGCTGCTGTGGGTGGGAAGGGACGGGTTTTATGCCTATTTAATTGCCTTATATTTACTGTTGTGTGTTTTTTACCGTTGTTTGTTTTTACCTTTTTGTAAAGCACCTTGTGTTGCAGCGTAAAAGCATGAAAGGTGCTATATAAATAAAGTTTGATTGATTGATTGATCCAGTAGAGTAAAAACTTGGCTTTAGTTTATAAATTTTCAGTCAGTCCGGCTATTTCTGATTATTAAGTAACAAGAAGATGTTCTCTAGGTTTTTTTTTTGTTTTTGTCTTTTTTGGGTATTTTTTTGTCTTTCGTAACTTCCTTTATAATACCTTGCGTATATCATCACCAACAGCAGAAACATCATATCCGAAACCACACAAAACACATCTTAGTCTGAATCAGAGAATTCTGTGTCACTGCTTTCTGACTCATCAGATTCAGATGACTCCACCCTCCTCTGAGCAACATCCTCCTCCTCCTCCTCACTCTCAACTTCTTCCTCCTCTTCAACTGGCCCTGGTGCAGGTAGGTGTGTCGGGAGAGCAGGCCGTGTGTGGCGGACAGGACGACAGCGACCACCCACCAATTCCCAACCATGTCCGAGTGGCGAGGGGTGATTCTTTAGTGTGGGGCAGCGCACTAGATATGCCAAGTAGTTGGCACGGAGACAGTGTTGCCGTAAGCTGTCTGCATCTGGAGGAGAAGGATAAACGATTTTCTCTTCATGGCTTTCCACTTAGAGGCGCGGGCATCAGCCATGGTGCTACTCTTCTTGTCTCTGTAGATCACCTTCTTCTTGTCTCTGTAGATCACCTGTCTAGTGAATGCGAATAGCTCTTGTTCTACCTCCTCTTCAAGGTCAAGGCTATCTCCACACCGGGAGAGTTGCTGCCGTGCCAAAGAGCTCTTTGCCACCATCTCAAAGACTGATGATTTTCCTTTGCCATAAAATCCTGAGTTGGCATCACAGCCTGTAAAACAGTGTAGCTGCACAATGCAGTGTGCCATCTCTTCTGTCAGCATGCCACGATAGAGGACTGTCTCTTTGTTCCTCTTGATGCATAGCATGCCAGGGAGCTGCTGTGAGATGACTGATGCTGCAACATAGACATCAGTATCAGCTGCATCAATAACAACGGGGCCACTATAGCCTGACTGCCGTAGACCTGCATAAACAGTAAAGAGTATGGTGTCAGCTTCCAACTGTTCAATGCTGTAGTCTTCCATCGGTTGTTGTGTTGACAAGTTGGTGCAATGTGGGCCAACAGAGTAGACAATCTCAACATTCACATTCTGTGCCAGGTCGGTGAGGTGGCTGCATATTAATTTTTGCAGCCGTCCCTTGTTGCTGACACTACACAGTAGCATTTTGAATGCCTTGGCAGAGGGAAGGGGGTCATCCAATTTCATGTACGTGTTTGGTACATGCACCTTACCTTGTATGCGCAGGTCTCGCTCATCATCTTTAGTGGAATAGGCTGCATCATATGGATCATTCACACAGATGATACGGTGAGCACCAAGATGGCGGGCAAGGATGATGGAAGACACCTTTTGCACGTAGTCCAACCATTTGTATGGTCTGCCGTCTTGTGTCTGCGTGTCCTCTGCTGATGGAGTTGCCATCCTCCAGATCATGCCCATGTCAATGAGAGCAACATAGGGCTCTTTAATAGCAATCGTTTGGAGGGAGAGCTTCTGGATGAGCTTGCTCTTCTGTGTCTTTCTGTATGTGCCGTTAGGGTTGAATAAGGCCACACATTCCTCAACAACACAGTGTTCCAGCAGCTCGGGGAACTTGACAAGTTTACTGTCCTCAACCAGGTTGATCACCGCTTTGAGAGCGCTTCTTTCCATTTCAGCAGCTCTTGCCTTGAGTTCCTCGCTGGGCTTCTCTATGCATGTATGCTTGGAAAAGGTCAAATGTTTGCTCAAACTCACAGGTGCATGGAGGGATTTATTCTTACTGAATACTCGGTCCCGCAAGAAGATGTTTAACTTCTCCTCTCCTGCAGAATGGGCTGATTTAAAGTCCGCAACGAGCTCATCAGAGGCAGGCATGGCTGACTGTAGGGTGCGAAGTGTGGGTGAGGCTGGATTAAATGGTAAAGAGTCAAACTCATCCATGCATGCAATTAGGTTATGCACACACTGCTCATCCTCTCGCATGCACTTCGGGACACTTTCTGTGTGTTTCCCCTTTGCTTTTTTTCGGGTTGCAAGAGAGTTGTGTGCCGCTCTTATGCGGGTCACATTGTTGACATTTCTGGAGTGCACCAGCAGTTTTTCATTTTGGAGGATTGAGAGCCAGCCTGACTTCATTTTGCTGCCCTTGTTCATAGTACACTCAATCCACATGTCCCAGGCCATGTTGGAATAAGGGTTACCTGTGATGGACTGAGTGAAGTTACAATGAAGGAAGGCAACCTGTTCATCAGGGAGAGCTGTCAGCATTGCCCAGAAGTCAGGCAGCCACCTCCCATACTTGTTGTTGTCATATGCTACCATCCACGGCTGCATAGCCCGCAGAGAGCTGACATACTCTTCCCAGTTGCAGATATGAACTGCATGCACATTCTGCATTAGTGAATCTGTCATGGACAGGAAGTCCCTCCAGTAGTCTGCCATGTCATTCACGTCTACATGGGAGAAAAGCTTGGTGATGAGATCCTGGAGATTGGCATCATCCTCCAGGGCTGAATGAGCAGCAGCACGGGCTTCCTGGGACAGACTTGTATTCCTCAGAATATCAAGATTCTCTCTTGTCCCCTCTGTTAGGTTGGGTATCGGTCTCTCCTTGGCCAGCTGGCTCATAAGTGCCTCATACATCAGCCTCAAGCAATGAAGTCCCCTCTTATAATGCTTGCCTTTCAGAGCAGAATCAACGGATCTCTCAGCAATAACTCCTGCCGCTACAAGTACATCTTCTAGCTCACTCCCTTGTAGCGCTTGTAGATGGCACTCATCATTACACACTGTGTATGGAAAGGACCAAGAAAGGGCACGATGTCACAGTACTTGTCTGGGTTCTCAGCCTTGAGCAGAGTGACAAGGACATACACAGGATGATCTCCCGCTAAAAAGGCAATGGGCATGCGTTTTGTGATGATGATGTGAGATAGCTTTTCCATGATGTCATTCACAACTGACTTGTTTGGCGGTTGATTGTAAGACATATGAAAATAAGTCTTGCTCTTTGACTGCTCCTTATTGAAGCTGGCATGAAACCCATTGTAGTCTGCTCAGCTGCATCAGGATGATCACCATTCTCGTTTGCACGAACAAGGGCATGAATAATGCTCCACTTGCGCTGAGGCTCTGTACTTGATGAGAAAGTAGTGGGCTTGGGGTGGATAGGAGGTTCCCCACGCTTGCTCGTCCTATATGGTGTAACTGCCTGCATCTCCGATACCTTCTCAGTCAGAGCCTGTGAAACAGTCTTTGCATCTTTGGTGCGCTTGTGTGCATCCTGGATGTTTTTCTCCTTCTTTGCAAGATGATCTAGGCGCTGAAGAAACATCCAGTTACAGCGGTGAGCAGTACCCCCCCCCCCCCCCCCCGAACACTTGAACACTTGAACAGAACACTGTTCAAGGTCATGCATGGTCCATATATCACGCAAGAGAAGCACTTCATGGTAGCTGATCCCCATGCCCAACTTGTAGTAACAGTCAACAAGCTCCTTGCTGTGAGTCAAACCATGAAGGGTGATGGTGGCATTAATGGCAGTAGTGGTGAGTTGTTTTATCGCATACTGTGTGATAAGAGAGGTGAGGGAAAGTGTGCATGGAGACAGATCTACCTCCTCCTTCCCCCGTAAAACAGATAGCAGCTGCACCAGTAGAGGTGAGAGCTCTTCCTCCTCCTCCAGCTCTACAACTCTCGGTGGCCATCAGATGAGTCTGATGGACTTAAGATCATCCCTGATCCGCTTAGCAACATTGTGCACCAGTTGCTCATTTCCGGCCCCGATGGAGTTTAATGCAATCTTACTTCCAAATCCCTGGGTCAGGATGTCTCTGATGTAAGATGATTTAACCGTGAATGTTGGGAAGCCTTACCGAGAGATCATAGAGTTGTAGTCTAGGAGGAGGCTCTGCAGTGACCTTGGCTCATGTTCCTCAAAAATAACTTTTCTTATGTGATTAAAGAACATAGTCTGTGCCTCACGTAGAGTGACATTGTGCATATGTGGGAGTTTGTCATCGTCAGTCATTTTCTTGTATTTTGTTACATATTTCATCCAACATGTGTAGTGATATCTGATCTCAAGTGCATAGGGATGATCAGCTGCAGAATCGATCAGGCAATTGGTTCTGTCCTGCATTGTCTGATCGTCCAGGGCAACTGTATGGCTTTTGAAAGCTGCCCATGCATGATCATATGAAATCAGCATCAGCTTTGTTTCTGGGTGCTTTGGTGACTCAGGCTTACAACACCACACACATTTTGTTTTATCATGTATCTGCCCAAGACTTGATCGCAGTCGTTTGGCAGGTGGATCTGCAGCTGTGGAACAGTCATCCAACAAAGAAGACTGAGATTGGATTTCTTCAGTCTCTTGTTTTTTCTTGTCTTTTTTTGGCTTGTTCCAGTTTATTAGAATTGAATAGGGTCAACCTACATGCTTCATGGACACATTTTCCAACCGGACCTTTATCCCAATCGACAGTTGTATAGACATGTCCAAACTTGTCAAGGCCACTCCATGACAGTGCCCTGTGTATTATGTTTTCCCATCTCTGGGTTGACTTAATGGTATCTTTGGCTTCATTACACAGACTACCACACTGGAGAATACTTGACTGTCTGTCTGTCCCTGTTGGTATATTATTTTCTTCATATTCAAGCAGCTATGTATGCTGCATGCACACTGTCTTTACAGATCAAATGAGTAGCTCCTCTAACTGTGGGCTCAAAAGAATTACTAAAGAATTACTAACTACTAAATTACTAAATCAACAAACAATGCTAAACCATTGGCCAACTTGTCAAATAATATAGGAAAAAATAAAATAAAATAATAATAATAATACATTTTATTTGTAAAGCGCTTTTCCAGGATGCAAAGACGCTGTACATGAGTAAAAGCAAGAACAATAAAACAGACATCAATGTACAATAAAAAAAGGCAAAAATTGTGAAAATGGCCAATCTACAAGCTCACACGCCTCACAATACAAGGTGTTACGGGCTTGTAGATCTGCTATTTTCACAATATCTATATGTGGAACAGAGTCATACAAATTGGGGGTTACCCAGTTCAAATATGATTGTTTTGGGGGGTCAAGTCCTGAAAAGGTTGAGAATCACAGTACTAGATGGCAGCCATCTTGAATATCGCGGTCAAAACAAAGTTGTATGATTAAAACAATGTCAGATCTGGAATCCTCATGCTTGACTTGTATGGAAAGGTGACTTCATACATGATGCTAGGTCATCCAGATCAAAAGTTAATGGCGCCGGCCGCCATCTTGAATTTAGCTGTCTAGCAAAAAATGCCGGGAATTTTGCGAGGGACCTGGGGGCTAAATCTTTTCTAAAGGGTCCAAAGAGGTCAAATCAATCGTCAAAACATCCTTGCCAAAGGATGGTCACAGAATCTCACTTTGTGACCCCACTATATCCATTGTTTTTTTAATCTGAGGGGGCGCATGCTCACATGTCTGTTAATATCTTCTAGACTTCTCGTTTCTGAATACAAACTCCTCCAACGTGGATCCAAACTGCCCTAGGAGAAAACTGTGGACTGTCTGAGTCCAGTATTTGTGATTCACACAGAAATCTGGCCTTTCACAGCGGATTACAGCTTCTGTTTGAGGATTTAGATCATGACTTCTATGTATTCTGGTTACATAGTCCAGCCACTGTCTGTATTTGTGTGTTTTTGGCACAGGGGTGATCCTGCAGCAATCAGAGCTTCCAGTTTAATGAGTCCAGGGGAAGCAGCTTTATAGATCCTTTTAGTAAAATGCTGTGACAGTACATGGTGAAATGGCTGTAATTTGTTTCCAGAAATGAATCAGAGAGCCTCGTCTTCATAAAGTGCAAGAACCTCATTTTTACACCAGGGGAGTGGAAAATTAAAATCCCAGGAATATCATCTCTCCCTTTTGACAGGATCATCTTTACATGCATGGAGCGTGGGCCAATCCTATCTCCGTTTGGGCTTTATATCTAAAAAAAAAAAAAAAAGAGAGAGAGAGCTGTGGACTCAAAACAGACTCAGAAATCAGCAGTCACTGAGACTCAACAAGGATTCATTCAAAACAGGGAACTCAGACTGTCCACCAGTTACAGCTTTGTTTTTTTCATTCTTTAATTTACCTCCAGCTAACCCTGACATTCCGGGAGTATCATGCATTAGTTTGCTTCATTCTTTAGGTCCACATCAGCATAAAAGAGCAAAAGAAAGTATACCATCCATACACTTTTTTTTTTCTCTGAAAACTAAATTTTTGAATTCAATTTTTTTTTATCCAGTGACAACTTCACCAAAGTTCACTGTAATAATAAAAAGTTTTTTATCATCTTTCAACAGAAAAACCACTGAAAGCAATGTAGTGCATATGCTAAACCAGTAATTGGCGCTGTAACGCTGCCCAGGAAATGCACAAAAGACAGTACGGAACGTGTACAGAGATTGTTTTTGCCTGTCACGCGCTGGAGCCATAAAGAGTTACGCTGTGTTTCACATGATTGTTTTCAGAGAGATGCAGATGAAACGCAGATACAACTAAAATCTTTTGTATTTACTCTTGAATTTGTTTCCGTGTGGACGGTTTGATACTGCCTTCAGACAGACTTTGCGAGTGGTTTCGTCCAAAACTGCAAAGCCGTACCAATTCCACAAGACTGACTTGCTCTTGTCCTATTTAGCCACAAAATTATGGCCTTCTTTTGCAAACGCCGTGTTTGTTTACACTGGTATGTGTGGGATATGGGGAGCACTCCCACAGGAAGGAGGAGCCAACAGTGGCCTGGAGGTGCGAGACATGATAGAGAGGAATTGTCAAAAATCAATTTGACAATTTATTTTTTTTTAACATCGACATAATCAAAAAATCCGATCGTGTAGCCCTACGCTGAAATTGACAGTGCAAACGGGTCAGCACGGAAACGACCAGACTGGTTCAATCAAAGCCTGATAGACTATAGTCATCAGTGTTTGATCGACAGGAAAGTGTGAAAGCAAAAACTGTGATATTGTTAAGGTCGAGGCTGTTTTGAGTTCTGGAGGAGATGCAACACAGTTTTGTCTCGACAAAGCCTCATATCAACAATTTTAAAGTGTTTCCTGCAAACATAAGATGCTGTGTGTCCAGCACACGGAAAAGTGACTCCATAAGAAGCTCAAGAAACTGAAAGAAAGACCACACACATCCCGTCCCCATCTACATCCTCCTTTTTTGGTCCTGTTGCAGAAGTGATGATGTTTAAGTAACTGTAGGCTGATTTCACCTGAAGGTTTGTGGCAGTCACAAACACAAATAAGTCTCCGGGGTGAAATGTTCCTCTTTAAAAGTCCCTCAAACAGATTAGTCCTGAAGTCGCCTGGTAAAACCTGACACAGCAAAGACCCCGAGGTCCAGATCAGAGCCGGTATCAGTGACAGTCACTGAGACTGGTCATATCAGAACCAGCAAAAATGAAGTTCCTATGTACCCGCTCTGTTTGGTGGGTCGAACACTGAACCACTTCCTGGGACATCAGATTTGAAACCGTTCATCAGAGGAGTCAAACTCATTTTGAAGAAAACTAAAGCTCCTGTCTTTGTTGCAGCTGTAACAAATCCTCCTGCAGTCTTAAGCCCC